TGGCTAGCCCGCTTGTTTGTTTAGTATTACGTCTGTGACATCCACTCAGGGTTTGCCTCTATCAGTAACTCCATAGTCTGTTCATCATTCACCTGTTGGACATTTGGGCTGTCCTGTTTTGGGCCACTGGGTGAAACCGCTCTAGGCACTCTTGTACATGTCATTCGACGAACGCACAGGTGTTCCCATCAGATACGTACCCTGAGTGGAAATGCTGGGTCATAAGGGAGGCCAGTGTTCAGCTTTAGCAGAAACAGCCAAGCAGTTCTACTAATTTACCCTTCTGGCCACAGCGAAGTGGAGTCCCCGGTGCTCTATGTCTTTGTCAACACTTGGTATTGTCAGTTTCATTAACTTTGATCATTCATCTCGCCAGATTTCTTACTTCTTAGCCATCATGTACAGTCTTGCAAGCTTAGAAATCTTAACTGAAAACAGCTGATTCAGGCTGTATAGAAAACAGTCCTTTCTCATCTTGCTTATCCATCTGCCAGGCCTTTTTGCCTTTGGAAAGAGCCTGAGGAGAATTTAGAAGACATTAGGTGGCTTCTGAGATAGTCTTTGTTGGTCCCTGCCACTTGGCCTGTGTAATCCCCTCCCCTTCAGTGTGAGCTGGAGTCACCTCTGCCAACAGCCAAGGAACTAAGTTCCTCAGCTCAGCAGACTGCAAGGAACTGAGTCCCATCAACAACCACAAAGTGAGCTTGGAAGCCGATCCTACCCCAGTTGAACCTTAATTCATGAGAGACCGTGAAAGGGAGGACCCAGGTGAACCCTGCCCAGATTTCTGACCCAAAGAAACTGAGATAATAGATGGGTGTTGTTTTAAACTCCTGAGTTTGGGGGTAATTTCTTATGCAACAATAGCTAACTGATACAATGAAAAAGACGTAATGGTCAACCCTCTGTATCTGCAGGTTCCGCATCCACAGATTGAAAGTAGTTGGAAAAATAAAATAAAAAATAACTATACAATAATTTAAAATGATACAAATAAATAAAATAATACAGAGTAACAGCTATTTACATAGCAGTTCCACTGTGTTAGATGTTATAAGTAATCTGGAGACGATTTAAAATACTTGGGATTGTTGCACAGGTTGTGTGCAAATACTATGCCATTTTATATAAGGGACTTCAACATCCAAGGATTTTCATAGTGCAGGGGGTCCTGGAACCAATTCCCGGGTTCCCTTCCAGAGAGTTCTGAAAAACTGGAGTCTCCAGTATTTCCCAGGCACCTGCTCTGTCCTGGAACCCTGTGTGACCGGATCACACGGTTCCACCATGGGCTCTCACACAAATGACCTCGTTTCTTGGGCCTCAGTTTCCTAATCTGTGAAATAGGTTGTCCTGGGGATTAACCGAGGTTGGTAAAGCACCCACAGTAGCAGGCATTCAATAAAGAGGCACTGCTGTTTATTTTTATTTTATCCTCTTAGTAGATATTTATCATGCTCGCCAAGAACCTGTGCTTACTGGGTGCCCCCATGCATCACCGCCATTCCAGATGCTCACGAGCATGTTATCTCTTTATCCAGCTCCACGGCCAATGAGGAGGTCTGTGCAGTGTCCCCGGCGGCTCCAGGGAGGAGGTGGCTGAGGCTGGTGGGGCACCTGGGTGTGTGTGCATCTGACTAGTTGGGACACTACCCTGAGTCAGGCATCCTGTTAGGGTCTGTCCTCTCTTTGCCTATTGGGAGGGTTCCCAGTGGGGCGTTAGGCCACTGTGTGGCTCAGCTTCCTCTACTCCCTGGGCTTCAGAGTCCCTGCCTGGCCCAGGAAGGGACAGGCTGGGAGACTTTGGGGATATTTGTCCATTTGGGATGGAGGTGGGGGCCGGGCTACATCCACCCTCAGGGAAACTCTTATGAATGGAGATTGGTGGGACTCAGGGTCCCAGGCTATGGCCTGCAAGGGACACACCCTGTCCCCCATTCCTGTCCTCCCTACCCTCCGTCCTGCCACCCTGCCCTCACTCCAGATTCACCCACGGGCCTGGGCATGGCCACACAACACGTTTGGATGTTGATCAAGTAACACAGAGATAGTGAGCATTGGAGTTTATTTTGTGGGTCATGGGAGATGGGAGAGGAGAGGGGCCTCTGGAGACCCTTCCATGAACCCCAGAAACTGTCCATTGGGGCAGTTTCCTGTCACCAGGCACTTCAACCAACAGCATCCCAGAAACGGCTGACATGCATTGAGGATTTACTGTGCACAGGCCCCCAGAATGGCTCATGTGGAGTCATGTGTCACAGGAGCCCTAGGAGGAGGGATCACTTCCTGTCTCCATTTTACAGATGAGGAAACTGAGGCACAGAGCGGCAAAGCCCTTGGCCATGAGCCTGCAGCCAGGAGTCTGGGTCTAGCCCTCTGGGTGCACTCCTGGCCCTGCACTGCTCTGAGCTTGGCACACATGTGTTTCAAATGTTCACAGCCTGGGGGGCACAGCAGGGCGTCACAGCGTCTGAGACTTGCACCTTCAGCAGCATGGGGCTTACAGGATCCAGGTGCAAATCCTGGCTCCGATGCTCAGTACTGGCCATGGGACCCCTGGCGGGTCACTGCCTCTCTTGGGGCCTTGGTTTCCTCATCTGTAAAATGGACAGAGACACTTAGAGATCACTGCCTCAGCCCCACCCTCCCCTCCTGCCTATAACAGAACCTCATTCATTCTGGACAGCCACATTTCCCGGACTCCCTTGCAGCAAGGTGTGGCTTTGTGGCTCTGTTCTGGTCAGTAAGATACAAGCAGAAGAGTCCCAAGGCCTCTCAGGAAGACTTCCAGAGGACAACAAGCCAGTTCTGGCCTTTGCCTTTTTATCTGAGTGAAGAGGTGAAGGCTGGAGCCCTGGTAGCTATTTTGCACCATGACGCAACCTTGAGGCCAAAAGCCAGGGATGCTGCGAACTGAGAAAGAAATCAAATCCTACTACTACTGCAGCTGAGCCTGGATCTATCTTTAGGATATCCTCTTGCTGCCTTACACCAGGGCTCTATCTCTGATCCTTGGGCTCACACCAGTGTAGAGTCCTTCCCTGTGGTCCCTGGCCTATGTCCCAGCATGCTACGCAATTCATGGGTGATCCCACCCCAGTGCCCCATGCCAGCCGACAGTGTCCGATGCATTCGGGATGCAGGCAGACTGCTCTCCCGGCCTCCCCCCAGGGCTGTGGGTGCTGTGGAAGTGGCTGTGGCCCCAAGGGAGTCCCCAGGCTCTGGATAGGATGAACAGGGGGTCCAGCAATGGGTACCCTGCTGGGGCTGAGCTCTGGGGCTGATGTTGGAGACTTCAGTGGCGCGGGTGGGGTCGTCTTCAAAGGATGGCAAGGACATGTCTTGGAGGCCACGGCGGGTGGCCCGGGCGGCCCGCAGCAGAGTGTGGGTCAGCACAGCCACCAGGACCAGGGCACCCGAGCCGAGGATGGATGCAGCTGCTATGCCTGTCTCGATCTCGAAAAGCAGCAGGGCATAGACGGACAGCGCTAGGGAAGGAAACAGCTGTCATTCATTCAGTCAATAAACATTTGCTCTCCAAGCCCTCAGGGAGCTCCCCAAACAGGGAGTAATCATAGAAAACAGTGCAACATGCCAGGCACGCAGATTAACTATCTAATCCTCTTACACTTCACAAATATATCATCATCACATCCATTTTACACATAAGGAAACCAGGCCCAGAGAGGTTAGAGAACTCCCCTAAAGCCACAGGGCCAGGAAATAATAGAGGTGGGATTTTTTTTTTTTTCCC